CTCCCCCCGTGGACGGGGATTCCTCCCGGGGCGCACACCAGCCGAAGCAGCAGATCTCTTCGCCGGCGGACAAGGAGGGTCCCTGTTGGGGCTCCCAGAGCGGAGCTGAGCCCTCATCACCATCTCAGGGCTGAGGCGCTCCGGCGGCCTCGACCGCCGAGCATGTCGAGGGGGGTCCTCAGCCACCACAGAGGCAGTATCCTCCAACACGGCAGCCATCCTGGATTGAACCCAGGAAGCGCCACGGGACGCCGCAGCCTCCCGCACACGGGCCAGTAAATTATCCAGGGCACTCATACTCCAGCCATCTGAACAGAGGGATGGAGAAGAGAAATTCCTTGTCTGACTCCCGGTGTCTTCTCTTCTGGAATGATCCTAGGATCCACGTGCAGCCCTCCTCCTGAAATCCCACCCCTCTATGGTCCACGTCCAAACTGGTAAGCCACCCCTTCTCCCTGTACTTTTTAACTCTTTATTCCTCTGGCTCCCCTTCCCCCCTGTCATGTTGACATTCCACCCAATTCCCTCCTTTCCTTGCGCTCCATGTCTCTCTTTTTATAAACTGCCATCGCAAACCAGTAACAGAGATTGATTTATTGTGTTAAAGGATAATGCAATTAGTGTCTACAAATTCTGTAGAGCTTTTAGAGTATTCCATACACTCCCATCCCCAAGGGAATTGCTGATGGTTTTGTGAAGATTTATAAAAATATGTCATGATAACCTCAGTTCCCAAGTTTTGTCTCTCTGGTTCTATCCTGTTTTAAGAGTTTTTGGAATAGTAACAGTATTCTTCAATATATTCATCCTGAATATAATTTCACTAAACAATTTTCTGATTTATTTTCAATAGCACAAAATTTAAACAATATCAGAGATTTGGAAGTGCTTGATCTTTCTGATAACTATTTGGAAGATGATGGAAAGCATGCTGTGGAAGAATTAGGTAACTACAATTTTTTTCTCTTCTGGGATCAAAGACCCACTGCTTGTAGAAGTTTTATTGAATTTAAGTGTATATCAGAAACTCAAGTATGATGTGCAAGTATAATGTGAACTTTACAGAATTTACTGCTAATATCCCCCAGCATCAGGAACTCCTTTTTCCTGCATAACACTAATGCATAGAATAGGAAATGCATTGGGTCTCCAGACTTCCCTCTTGGAACGCAAGACCCTGTGTTTTTTCGGTTGCTTAAAAAGGACCGATATAGTGCTTTCACTTTTTCTGGGGGACGTGGTGGCCGTCACTGTCTGAAATGACAGTGGACCCTACCCTGGCTCCTCTGGGATACTGGCGCCACTACCAGCTGGCTCAATTCCTTTCCTCCATGCCCTGACTGGCTTTGCTATCTTGCCCCCTGACGAGTTTAGAACGTGAATGTACCTCTCCGGGACCTCTGCCGAAAGCCCTCTCATTATGTTACCAGCTGTTGCTTGCCCCGGATTGTTGAGTCACTATCCGGGGCAAGCAACAGCTTTTGTGTTCACAAGCAACAGCTTTTGTGGTCACATTTACCTTTCCTTACTAAGTGGGAACAGGATCTGGAGATTACTTTTTCGTCCGCTGAAAAATCCAGACTGTTGTCGCTCTCCCTGAAGTCTTCCATCTGCAATAAATATAAGGAATCGGGATATAAGATATTGACCCGATGGTACCGTACTCCCCAACTGTTAAGTACAATTTTCCCAGACTCTAATTACCGCTGCTGGTGATGTGGCTCCTCCTCTGCAGGCATGCTCCACGTTTTCTGGTCTTGCCCGTCGCTTCAAGAATTCTGGTTGCAGGTCCAGTCTGTTACTCAGCGGCTCTCGGAATCGCTGATCCCAAAGTCTCCCTCTTATTTTCTCCTTATTTTCGGGCTCTCTGAAAGGGTATACACACTACGTTATAGTACACCTGGTTAATGCAGCGCATGCTTGTATTCCCACACTGTGGAGGCAGGTCTCTCCTCACACCATCCACCTGTGGTTTAGCAAAATAAAGGAACTCAGGCTAATGGAAGATCTCACCAGTTTCCTCAGGGGCACAGTGGCTCGATTTTGCTCTACTTGGTACTGGTGCGATGAGTTCGCCTCCTCTCCAGAGTACAAAGATCTCCTTAAGTGAGACACCCGGTGCGGCTTTTTTTGTCTTTCCTTTTCTTCCTCTTCTTTCTCATCCCCTCCTATTTCCCCCCCTTCCCTTTCTATGTCCTAATGGTTGACACTGGGTGTTATGCCCCTGCTGACCCATACTAAAAGATTTCTGAGCCCACAGCATGTGGTGTACTGTTCTGGTGGTGTCCGTAGTCAGTAGTAGCACATTTGTTCTCCTGTTACCGATGGTTTTTTATTACCAACTGTTTACTGTATGCATACCTGATACCTCAGTATGTGGTGGCTGCGTCCACTGCCAGGAAATGGGCGATGAGCTCATCTTGGCGTTTCATTACCTGTGTCTGTTACATGCTGTGCTCGTATCTAAAGAATACAAAAAAAAAGAATAGGAAATGCAAAAAGCACGTTTGGTAAATCAGGCAAAGCAATAAAAAGCAAGGCACAGGCTGCTGTGTTGCAATCCAAGCCAAAAGAATGTGGAACTTGTGTGTAGCGTTATCACAGAAAGCATTTAATGGATGAATGATTTGTACAATTAAGTTACACTTTAGCAAAGAATTCTCTAATCACCTATCCATCCATAGGCGTGCGCAGCCTATTGCATTAGGGTGTGCACACAAAAGTACAAACACACACACACATATATATACAGTATATATATATACACACTGAGTAGCCAGTTTATTATGACGACCTGACGTTTGTAGGCAAATTAGCTATAATTAGCTATAATTTTGTGCTGAAGTTGCTAGAGGGCCTGACCATTATAAATAGGGAAGCAGGTTGTTTACCATGACAGTAGAAGTGATTTTTTTCTGAGGGTATGGGCAAACAACGCGATTTAACAGCCTTTGAACGTGGGATGATTGTTGGCGCAAGCCATGGAGCGAGTATCAGCAAAACATCAGAATTCGTTAAAATGTTCAAGAGGGGCTCATTGTTAAAGTGTTTAATGACTGGACTGACAGCCAAAAAATCTGGGTCTGAACGTGCGAATTGTGGCCGTCAGCGACTAGTCAATGTTAGGGCAGAACGCAGGGTGGCAAGACTGCCACAAGACAACAGAAGGGCATCAGTGCAGTGTCAGATTCCTCGCATCACCTTTCAACATCTCGTGGAGTCACAAGGCGGCCCAACAAAGTCATCTCGTGGAGTTATCTTGTGGCCCAACGAAGTACTGATGGGGTGGTCATAATAATCTGGCCACTCAGTGTATATATATTTATTAGGGATGCACCCTAGTATCTGTATTCAGTGCCTATACCAAGTATTTGAGCAGTACTCGTACTCGCCCAAATGCTCCCAAAGCCTATCTTGATACCGGAACTCCCGGTATCAGGATGTCACAATTCTTGACTTACCTGTATCAATCGCGGGGGTCCGCGCACTCGCAGCATGACGGTTATTGGTACTCTTGTCAGTGACTTGTGTCCTATAACTTTCTTGCGTGACAATAGTAAGGCCTCTTGCACGTTTAATGGCATCCTTACATCAAAATGGCAGCACTGGAGTACTTCCTGTTATAGACAGGAATTGCATCCCTTCTGCCACACCTCCTGACATCATTTCCTGTTTGATCACTATAAAGATGCAAGGTTCCAGAGAGAGAGTGCTGTTGTTTCAGAGCTATCCACAGTGTGTTCCAGTTGCTAGCTGTGTGATTCCGTTACCGGACCTTTGCTTAATTTATTGAGTTTGATCCTTTGCTGCCTGCCCCGACCTTATGCTTCGTTTAACTATGGTTTTTGGATTTATCTTTTTGTGCCACGTATTTTGAATCTATGCCTGATTCTTCTCCTGAGTACGCTATTCCAAGAGGTGTGCCCCTGCTATTGGGCTCTGCATATCCAAATACTGACATAACAACTGAGCCGGTATGGAGCCCGCGGTGTTAGCTGAAGCATTAGTAGCATTAACCCAACAAACAACCGTGCTGACACATTCTGTACAACACCTATACGTTTCACAAGCAAAATGACAAGCCAATCAAGTAAGATTGGACAAGCTGGTTAATGCACCTCCATCTGCTCCTGTGCCCGAGGCACCTGTGATGTATCCAGAGAGAGGTGCTGCTGCTCCTGAACCCAAAGTTGCACTACCTGATCAATTCAATGGAGATCGCACAGCCTATCGTACATTTATTACATCATGCAGATACTTTTTTCCTTACATCCTCATACCTATGCAACAGACTTTGTTAGGATCCGGACTGTGATATCCTTACTGACTGGTGAACCACAGACCTGGCCACATCATTTATTACATATTCATAGCCCTATATTGAATTTCTGGACTTCTTTCACGCAAGCCATGGATGTGCTATATGAAGACCCACATAAAGTAGCTTCTGCCGCAGCTTCACTCCGAGCCCTCAGACAAGGAAGAAGAAATGTTGAGGAATATGCTACAGAATTCCGTCATATAGCAGTCAAATCCAATTGGAATGAGCCAGCGATGTTAGATCAGTTTCGCTTGGGACTTTCTGAAGCCCTTGAGGATAAGTTGGCCAGAGTCGTGTTCCAGCCACACTTGAAAGCAATGTCTCCCTGTGTATACAAATTGATAGCAGATTACGGGAGAGGAGACAAGAACGAACCAATACTTATATTATTCCTCAGAGGCGCAATACATTTTCCACACCTTTCAGTTCTGCCATATCCTCCAAAGCTACCACAGATGAACCAATGCAGATGGTGTAGCCCGAGGACCTCTCTGTGAAGATGAGAAATCTCATCGTAGGTCTAAGGGACTATGCTTATATTGTGGAAAGCCTGGACATCAAGTGAGAGAATGTAAAGCTAAACGTAGTCCTAGTGGAGATAAGCGATCTACCTTCACCTCGCAACAATTGCTTCATACCATGTCCTCTCACCTAATCATATCCCTCTCTCTACAGTGCAAGAAGAAACCTGTGAATCTCCATGCAATGATGGATTCTGGAGCAAGTGGCTGCTTTATGGATACTACATTAGCTAAAGCTTTATCAGTGCCAACTACCAATAAAGTCCAATTTATGCTCAAGTGACAGGCTCCTAGCCATTATCCCGAGTTGGTGTTACTTTCCCTTCTCTCTGGTTCTCGTTCCTCTGTAAAAGGGGCCTATTAAGATTCTTACTTTTGGCAGGCAGGACACTGGTCACCAGGGATTGGAGATCGCAGACGGCCCCTTTGATGAAGGAATTTATCTCAGAGGTCAATCGATTGATGTGCCTGGAAGAGCTGGTTGCTCAAATCCAAGACTGCAATTCTGCCATCACTGACTACCAAATCGGGGATCATGATCTTCAAAATTGTCTGTGGCTTCCCAGAATCTCCTGTGGCATTAAAGCTTACTTTGATCCCCCGGACCTCCAGCCTCCCTCCCACCTCACTAAGATGGCACCGGACCACGTGCCCCCCCCTCATCAGCCAGCAGTGGCGCTCCTTCCTCTCCATCTGCAGATCCTCCTTCAGCCTCCCGGACTCAGTTTAGATGCCTTGCAGATGCAGCCCTCCTCTCCATCGGCTTCTGACACTCAGCGATCCCTGCTGCCGGACACAGGTGAGGCTGTATTATATACAAGGTGGAATCATATAGAATTGCGCTGGAATCCTTGTATTCAAGGTGGGATCCTCCCTTCACTTTAGACAGTACTGTCAGGCTGAGTGACTTCTGTCCAACAGCACAACAAGTGGCAGCAAAAGGACGAATCTTGGGACAACACCACCAGATATGTGACATGTGAGCGCCCGTCGCTCCCCAGCTGAAGGCAGTGATACCATCTCGTTAACAGTTTGTAATTCAATTCCTGTAGGGACGTAGACATTGAGAGCTTAAAACAAGATAGAGATGAAAACAACAATCACAGTCTTCCTCAGAGAGGGTTCGTCCCAGCTCCTTTTCCCAGTCCGATATATAATGGGTTTACACTAATGCATTTTTGGAACCTTGCTGCCACCTGTTTATCTTGTTTCTTTTACTTTAAGGCAGGCACTAGAGCAGGGGCACCCACAATTTTTCGTCTGGAGATCTACTTTTCAAATGACGAGCTCAATTACATCTACCAACGAAAAAACACCTGCATTCAGGGGCGGGAGGGGTCGTCGCTGCGGTGCCATTTACTTCAATGCACAGCCATGCCCCCTCCCGCCCCTGAATGCAGTGCAATCGCCCGCACCTGGTAGATCGCGATCGACCTTATGGGCACCCCTGCTCTAGAGGGAGAGCTGCTGCTGCTTTTGAATTATCCGTACCCCACCACTACACATGGTTTCTCTATTTGTTATTACTGATTTTATGCCGGTTGCTCCTAGAGCATTTAAAGTTGGGTGTCTACAAACCATGGCTGGGTTATCCCATCTGACCCGTTGAGCTTACAGTTTCTACCTTTGCTCTTCTGGCTTTACTTGTTTCTTACTTTCCTTCAGTTTTCTCGAGGTGTTTGCTTTTTTTTACTCCTCTCTTCGACGTGCCAGCCTGGACCCCCCATGTCATCCCTGCTCCGAGATGGACTACTCCATGTACTGCCTGGGAGTCCCCTTCATATTACATCCCTACTCTGGTATAGGTAACTTCTCTTATTTTTATTGGGGATTAATGTTGGCACTTTGGCATTTTTTTCTTTACCTTCATGATGTCTTCACCTACTCACTATAGATTGCAATCTACAGTGTAGAAGTCAGCAGTGTAATGCATAGTACAGAGTCAGTGGTGTGACTCGCAGAGGTCAGAGGTGTAATGCAAAGTACAGAGGTCAGTAGTGTAATGCACAGTAGAGAAGTCAGCGGTGTAATGCAGAGTACAAACGTCAGCAGTGTGACATAGAGCACAGAGGTCAGCGGTGTAACGCAGAGTACAGAGGTCAGTGGTGTAACACAGAGTACAGAGGTCAGTGGTGTAACACAGAGTACAGAGGTCAGTGGTGTAACACAGGATGCAAAGGTCAGCAGTGTAACGCAGGGTGCAGAGGTCAGCGGTGTAACGCAGAGTACACAGGTCAGCGATGTAACGCAGAGTACAGAGGTCAGCAGTGTGACGCACAGTGCAGAGATCAGTCATTTAACACACAGTGCTTTGGTCAGCGTTGTAACGCAGAATACAGAGGTCAGTAATGTAATGCAGAGTACAGAGGTCAGCTGTAACACACAGTGCAGAAGTCAGCAGTGTAACACAGAGGTCTGTGGAGTAACGCAGAGTACGGAGGTCAGTGGTGTGACACAGAGGTCAGCAGTGTAATGCATAGTACAGAGTTCAGCGGTGTGACACAGAGTACAGAAGTCAGCGGTGAGATGCAGAGTGCAGAGGTCAGCAGTGTAATGCAGAGTACAGAGCTCATTAATCCAATAATGATCTGCACTTAGAATGAAAATAACCCTGTGTAGATTGCGCAGCTGTGCTAAAGGTGATTAACCCTCAGAATATGTGTATAATGTATGCACTGTGCAGCAATCAATTGTACCAAGTCAAAACATAAACAAAATATATTTAAATCCAAACAATGCGGTTAATGTCTTTTCAGCCATGTAACAATTAAATATTGAAACATAGTGGCAAATTAATCAAACCCTAGATGGGTTAATATACATACATATTAACCCTCCAGCATGTACATATTGAAACAGTGTGGCAAATTACTTTAAAATAATAAACTAAAATGATCACATTAAAACCAAGATAAAAAGAGCTCAGCGGTGTGATGTAGAGTACATAGCTCAGCTGTGTAATGCAGAGTACAGAGGTCAGCAGTGTGACGCAGAGGTCAGCGGTTTGACGCAGAGTACAGAGGTGAGCGGTGTGACACAGAGTACAGAGGTCAGTAATTTAACACAGATTGCAGAGGTCAGCGGTGTAACAGAGTACAGATGTCAGCAGTGTAATGCACAGTGCAGAGGTCAGCGGTGTAACGCAGAGTACAGAGGTCAGCGGTGTAACGCAGAGAACAGAGTTCAGCGGTAGGAGACACAGTACAGAGATCAGTGGTGTAATACACAGTGCAGAGGTTAGTGGTGTAACGCAGAGTGCAGAGGTCAGTGGTGTGACGCGGAGTGCAGAGTACAGTGGTCAGCAATGTGATGCAGAGCACAGAGGTCAACTGCATTTTTAGGTTAAATTAAAGACACGTTCCAGTAGTATATGCATCCAGGGAATTATATCCAGCATAGGGTTAACTGAGAGTCACATTCAAGTAGTATATGCAGCCAGGGATTTATATCCAGTATGAAAGTTAATTAAAGTAACATTCAAGTAGTATATGCATTCAGGGGATTATATCCAACATAGGGTTTACTGAGAGTCACATTCAAGTAGTATATGCAGCAGGAGAATCACATTCATATTAAGAGATAGTAGCAAGGTACTTGAATCATGGAAGTTACTGGATCTCCTGGCAGTGCTGCTTGGCATGGGGTCCGGATCAGGGGAGTCTCCAGGGAGCTGCAGGCAGGCGGAGTCGATCCCTCAAGAGAGGGGTAGTCAGTAGCTATTAGTTGGGGGTTGCAGGCGTTCGGACTGCAATAAAGGAACGCCATGCAAGTCCCCCAAGCCGACTTCTAACACACGAGGAAGTGCGGGTGGGCGGAACCGCACGTTTCTCTCGGCACTTCCGTGTTCCAGCGTGGAACGAAGCGGCACCCCACACACGTGTCATAGTGCCGTCGCCGAGTGCGTTCCGTGTTGGAACGCATCGGCGATTGCGGCGGACGTCCCTTACAGATGAAGAGTTCAGAGGTCAGTGGTGTGACGCAGAAAGAACAGAGACTTACAGTGCACACAGTTAATCTGATGTACTAATTCAGGTGCTTTGCCTGCATGCCCACTTCCTCTACAGGTGGTGGTGGAGAGGGAGTAGCAATGTTTCGTACATGTTCTGTGTGGAAGCCTCCAGCCCAGCATGATGTCTCCAGCCACCTCCTTGTCCCTTCACTTCAGGACTCGCTCTTCTGCTCTCAGCCGGCCAATGGTGGAGCTGCAGTCTCCCTCCCAGCCTATAGCAGCTCACATGGGCGGAGCAAGCGGGCTACAGAGTGGCTGAGAGAGAGTTGACAGGAGTGATCACTGCTGCGGCTGCCATTTTTAGGGGCCACCTCTGCCCACAATCCTCCTGTATCCCGGGACAGGATCTCATTGGGCACCCCTCAGCCTTGAGCCCTGATAGGTCCACCCCTGTAGATATTAATCCAGGGAGAATTTGATTGCCTTAGGGGATCAAGAAGTTTTTTTTCCCTATTGGAGCAAATTTTTGTCTTTAGTTTTGTTGATAGACATGTGTCTTTTTTCAACCGATGTAGCTATAAAATATATTTTGCTATTTTATATGTTTTTATATTGTAGTACAAATATAGGGCTAAATACAAAATATAATTTTCACTTTAGATGAATATCAAACAGTTGTTATACTTTATTTCCTTCTAGGCATTGCCTTGACTCAGCTGCCAGCACTTAGGACACTTAAGTTACCTGGAGGTACAAATATAAAAAGCTGCCTGGATAAACTGATGTGTCAACTTAAGAGAATTCCAACCCTGTCAATCCTTACAATTAAAAGGTGGAACATGCGTGATGAAGATATGATGAAATTAGGTGAGAATATTTACTTTTTTTGTAAAAAAGATGCAAAACTAGTAAGTAGTTAGCAACAACACTGTTTAGAGCATTTTATTAATTCATTTGTGTATCCCTATTTTATTTAGTTTATATAAAAAGCAATGTGTACTGCATTCTTATACCAATAGTACAGTAGTTTATCCTACATACACTAATATATCCTAAACACTTTGATTAGGCAAATCAGTAACTTTGAATGTCTGCAAGAATACATTCTTGACATATCCCAGTACACAAGAGAAAAAAAAGAAAATAAAAAGACACATTTTATTAATAAAAAGTAATTTTTGATCCAAAGTCAAGTGACTGTGCCTAGGCATGAGATTAAATTGTTTTAAGAAGTATGTCATTAGGTGACAGGAGAGAAGTATTTCTTAGGTCTCCCCTAATTTTTAGGTGATCATTTAGACTTAACAATGTGTCAGGGCCCGGCCTTGTAATAGTATGGTGGATCACAGCTGCAGTTCCAACTGGGGGTGTAGTGCGGTTGTCAGGCTTAAATCCCCGGCGGCTCTCTCAATCATAAACGGAGAGTAGGGGATTAAGTCATCATGGACCGCTAAATAGTAATCGGTAATAACTTTCAATGTAATAAAGAAAATGTAACTTTCTGACAGCTCACAAAGTGAGAGCAACCGCAGGGAGTTGTTCGATATGAGACAATATGTAGAAAGGAGCAAAAAGGCTATTGTGCTGGCACAAGAATTTGCATGATAGTGTCATCTGTATAGCAGAATCTTAGTCCAGGACATAGTTGTGTGGGGGTATACTGTGCTCTTTTTAAAAAGTAATACGACCGGGGGTGGGAGGAAGCGGTGCCTGCAAAGGTAGCATGAAGTTGCACATCTCCTCAGCTTCCCATCATCATCATCTATAGCTGTATCCCTAGATACAAGCTATACACGCACTGAATTGAGGTTCCTCCTCACCCGATCGTCGGCCCTCATGATGTGGAAACAGCAGAGAAACACAAAGCAATCTGACTCCACTAAAAACTCCCAGAACACACCTAGATCAACCGACCGGAAGAGGATTCCAAAATGGCCGCTACCTCTTACTAAAGCTCGGCCAGCTCAAATTGGCCACACTAAAGGGCCAACACCTTCCCCATCTGACAGCTCCACTTCCCTAAGTAGCCAAGAGGTTGTATTACATCAAGAATCTCCCCAATCAGGATGACATTGCATCCTTAGCTCAAATGATTTTAATAGTTTAATAAGTAGAGAATGCAGGAAGATGGCAGGGCACAGAGAATGCTCTCCCTGGAATCTACGATCACTCCAAAGACCTCAAAGATTTCCAGTCTTTTCAACACAGCCAGACAGTTATTAGTTTTGCCATGAGCTCCCAACTAAAGTACTTGGAGATCAGGAATAGACGGTTGAACATCTGCATTCGTGGATTGACATACCTAGAAACTTCTAGAAATTGCGGAGACAGTGGTTGGGGCAGTGGTATGGTGGGTAAAGCTATAATGGGCGTGTCCAAATGGGGCTTTTAAAAAAGTCTGAAGAGCTTAAACAATACGTCTGGAGTCTACAGAATGATGGATAGGTGGGATCCAGGTGTACTGTGTGTGTGTGTGTACACCGTTCCAGTTACACTGACAGTGCACCTGGCTCTCACCTATCCACCATTTCAATGACACTGACTGTAGGTGGACGCCAGGTGCTTTGTCAGTGTTTCTGAAATGGTAGATAAATGAAAGCTAGGTGCACACACCTTTCTGTTGACACTGCCACCTACAGGCACTGTAAGTGTCACTGGAATGGTAAATAGGGGAGAATGTTTCTGGAAAGGTGTGTGCATCTGGCTCCCTCCTACAGGCACTGTCATTTTCTGTCAATGGAATGGTGGATAGGTGGGAGCCAGGTGCACACACCATCCATTTCAGTGACACTGACTGCACATACTTGCATACTTAAAACACATACTTACAAACACTTACCCCTCTGGTGGCATGGCTGGTCTCCACTTCTCCAGGAAATCCTAGTGGTGGCAGCGGCGTCCAACAAGGCTGAGGGAGCCTGTTTGTTCTTCTCCTCCCACCCACTCCTGTGACAGGACGAGGTCAACTGGTGCCCAGGCAGACAATGTCAAACTGTGCCTTACCCCAAGTATTGTCTTCACTGGATGCAATAATAACCCCCAACATCGGTGATCAGTGGCATTATTAATTAACCCGTTCCCAAACTCTGCATTGGTGGGTGGTCAGTGGAAATTTACAGTGCCACTCACCGCCCACCAATCCAAGAGGAAAGAGGTTATTATTGACAGTGACCACCCCCAATGCAAGGGGGAAGGGGTTAATTAAACTCTTCCCCCTTGCATTGCTAGGTGGTCTTTCCTCTTGGATTGGTGGGCGGTCAGTGGCACTGTAAATTTCCACTGACCACCCACCAATGCAGGGTTTGGGAAGGGGTTAATTAATAATGCCACTGATCACCGATGTTGGGGGTTATTATTGTGTCCTTTGACCACCAATGCCGAGGGTTATTGAATCGACTGGCACCAATATTGGGGCCTGCTACTGTCACCTTGCATTGGTGACAGTAGCAGTACAGGGAGAAGAAAAGGCACTTACATGTGCACAGCTCTGAGCATAGCGACTCTAATTCATCTGTTTGGCAGAGATCACTACTCCTCTGCCTGACAGAAGAGCTAGTGCTCCTGGCTGGAAGCGTCTTATTTCTGGGTGCCGGGGGGAATGCAGAGAACGTCCCAGACAGCAACCAGCACACCGCTGCCACTCTGCAAAGTCCCCCCCCTCACCCTTTTCCTGGCTCTGTTTCCTCCTTATTACTCCTTCCAAACAAAGCATGCTGTGCTTTGTTTCTGTTTGCATCCCTAAAATGAATAGCATTTTGGAGATGTAAGCATTCTGGTAAGCACCTGGCAACTGTATCTAAAATCCTGGGATTGCCAGGTCAATTCCAGCAAGTTCCCACCTATGCAGATTGCCAAAGGCAACCACTGCTACTGACCTTATACCTACCCTGCGAGGCATTTTTAACATGCTGCTAGACAAACCTCTGGACCATGGGACATATATAATGAATGAGCTCACAGGGTGTTCTGGGCGCCTCGCGATGTGATATGTTGCAAACACTACTATCAATATAAAGAAGAAATCCGCTTGGTACAGAAACCATTTGAATTTTGATGGGGTAGACCTCCAATTCTATGTGGACCTGCCTCAGATGACCCTGCTCTGTCGGAGGACTATGAACCCTACACCAGCAAATTTACCTACCCATGGGGTTCCCACTTCAGCTTCTTTTGCGCAAGGGAACAAGAACTAGCACTATGTGCACTGGTAATCTCCTAAACTGTTCCACCTTCTATCAGCACACCTGATAGAGGTTCCAGATTGTCTGTCCCTATTATTATCAACCACTCCCCATGGGAAAGAGACCCTCTCTTTTATTGCAACATCGCTAATGATCAGGTGCATTACCTTCGATGGAAGTTGATCAGAATACAGCTGCAGAGTCCGTTCCAAGCTCCACATTCCACACAGCATCACCATGGCTATATGACCCCAGTTTACCTTGACTAGTTCAGCTGCTTTGACAGCCATCATCCTCCCCACAAGCATTCCCATCCCCCTGCAAAAATCTTTACTGCCTTCTCCATGCTGCAGTGCCACTCCAACTGAATGCGGATACATTGTCAACTTTACATTCATTTGGAGGCATGCAGATGCTTCATAGATCAAAAGTTTGCTCAGCTCCCTCATTTTACCTCTACAAGCCAAACCTCAGAGACTCATTATCCATTTGGCCGATGGCTCCATCATCAGTTCAGGCCCTGTTACCCATAAAACCGCTTTAATCCCAGCTACCCAGGACATTTAGAACTCCTTCAGCTGGATGTAATTTCCTCTCCTCTATTTCCCATCATCTTGGTTATGCCTTGGTTGAGAGCACATAACCCTCAAGTCAACTGGGAAACAGGTTAAATATTTTACCCAGGGTATTGCACTGGACCCTCAAAAAGTGTCGGCAGTCTTAGATTGGCCACCACCATCTGGCAAGAAGAGAGTATAGCGTTTCATAGGCTTTGCCAATTTTTACAGTAAGGTTATTAAAACATTTTCAAGTATTATAGTGCCAATCACCCAACTCACCAAGAAACAGACATGGTTCCAGTGGACCCCCACAGCTCAAACTGCTCTCACTGAACTCAAGAGACTGTTTACTACAGCACCTATTCTGAGGCACCCTGAACCTACTTTGCCAATCTTCCTGAAGGTCAACACCTCTGAGAATGTTGTGGGAGCTGTCCTGTCCCAACGACAGGGCCCAAAATCTCTGCTACACCCTGTGACGTTCTTTTCATGCAAGCTTAGTCCCACAGAAAGAAATTACAATATGGGGGATCGGGAACTACTAGCTACTAAACGCACACTCGAAGAATGGCGATATCGTTTAGAAGGAACAGCCCAATCAATTCTGATATTCACGGACCAAAACAACCTAAAGTATCTGAGGTCTGCGAAATGTCTGAATCCACGGCAGGCCAGATGGGCATTGTTTTTCTTAAGGTATAATTTCCATATTACTTATTGTCTCGGGCCCAAGAATGGGACGCCTGAATCTGCCACTGAACTTGACTCAATCCTGCAAGCAGGTTATTTCTTGTTGTTACAGGACTATCTCATCTTGCAGAAACTCATCAATTTAAGCGGCTGGCGTCTCTCCTCCCGCACCGCTCAGATCAGGATGGAGAGTGGTGTGTGGGCGGAGACAGCTGTCACATTGCTGTCAGACGTTTCGCAGACCTCAGATACTTTAGGTTGTTTTGGTCCGTGCATATCAGAATTGATTGGGCCGTTCCTTCCCAACGATATCGCCATTTTGCCAAAAGTGCAATTTTCGGCCAAAATGTTTCTGCTTTCCTAATATATATATATATATATATACATATACACCACAGAACCCCTAAGTGAAAATGTCCAAATTGGGCCCAAAGTG